AAAAAAAAATGAGAATGCCCCCCAAAAATTGATAATGAAGAAAGTGCTTCAAGACACACCATTAACAAGCTCAAGGCCCTGAGTTCAATCCCCGGTTTAAAAAAAAAAAAAAATAGATTCATGATAAGACACACCATTAAAAACAACTAAAGAAAAAGAAAAGTCACACAATAAAAAGTAGAGGTCTGATGACAGGAATTCAGAAAAGACAAGGTGGCAGCAGACAATCAAGGTAAGTTTTGGCCCTGCCTCACTTGGAGGCGGCTGAATGAGTGGGAGCACATACCGGCACAGGACTTGGTGTCTGAAGGTGGTCATGGTGTTCATGTTCCCTGAGGAGGGGAACTTCCTTCTGTGTTCCTGTTGAAAGTTCACTTCATTGTATACATCACGCTTAATCTTGTACAGGAATGAAGCAGGCTTGTTTCTAGAGGTGGAACTCTGGTTGCTTTTCTCTGCTTGCATCCTTCCTGCATGGGTAGAAAGAGATCAAAATTTAACAGCAATTTAAAAAAATCCAGATCCTCAGCACACTGTTACAGAAATAAAATTTCCACATGATATTGTGCCCTTGTATGGCAGTTATATCAAATTCTTTCTCAATGTGGTACAATTTTATACTCAAAAGCACGTTATTGTGAATGCAAGGAGCATGCTAGTCTCATTTTCTAAGTGGAGGGGAAAAAAAAAAAGAACAACAACTCAGAAGTTTAGATGGTCGTGGCTGTTTTGTAATGATTAGAACCCCACGTTCCTGCCGGGAAGCCTAGTTTCCTTCGTATTTGACTGCGTTGTTGCTGTGCTGTAGGAGAAAGGTTTAGAAGTCCTGGTCAGTGTTAATCAGCACATGTCACTGAAAATGCTGAGGGTAAAGGGCTCAAGACACCAAGACAGTGTTTTCGGACTCCTTCTGCATCTCAAATAGCATCCATCATTCTTTTACCCTGCACTTGTCTCCACAGAGCTTGCCAGCACCTGACTGGTCACTGCCTCTTTGGCCTTTGCTTCTGCCTCTAAAGGAAAACCAGGCAGGACTGTATTTACGGTTACACCCTCAGGGCCCGGGATACTGCGTGACACTCAGCAGTCCTCAACAAACATCTCACAAAAATAATTACCAAGGGTCTAATCAATGACATGAGTGGACAGCATGACCTCTAAATTTTTAAACTTTAAAAATCTAAGCCAGTGGGCTGGAGAGATGGCTCAGTGGTCTAAAGCACCTACTTGGAACAAGCTTGGCTTAAGCACAGGGACTGCGGTTCGATCCCCCAGCACCACATGCCAGCCAGCCAGCCAGCCGCGCCCCCTGGTGGGCTGAGCTGGCCACACACACACACACACACACACACACACACACACACAATAAATGTTAAAATAAATAAATAAATAATTAAAAAAAAAAATCTAAGCCAGGCATGGTGGTGCATGCCTGTGATCCTACATTTGGCAGGCTGAGACAGGAGGCTTCGTGTTTGAGATTAGCCTGGGCTACAAAGCGAGCTTAAGGCCAGCCTGAACTACATACCGAGATTCTGTCTCAAACAATACCAACAAGTTGTTTTTTTTTTTAAAAAGCTGTATTGTTTGCTCTTTTGATAGAATGAGAAGGTGGAGGTTATGAAGATAGGGATCCATCTCTGGGAGAAAATATAACTACTGTTAATTGTCTGTGTTTTTGTTTTTATTTTTATTTTTATTTATTTATTTATTTGTGTGTGTATGTGTGTGTGTGTGTGTGTGTGGCCAGCTCAGCCCACCAGGGAGCGGGGCTGGCTGGCATGTGGTGCTGGGGGATTGAACCGTGGTCCCTGTGCTTTGCTAAGCTTGCTCCCAGTAGGTGCTTTAGACCACTGAGCCATCTCACCAGCCCCTGTGTTTTTGTTTTTAGTTTTGGTCTTTTTTGAGACAGGGTATCGCTATGCTGTTCAGGCTGGCCTTGAGCTCACTTTGTAACCCAAGCTGGTCTCAATGCACAAGGATCCTCCTGCCTCAGCCTCCCAAGGGCCATGCACCACCACGCCCAGCAGTCATCTGTATCTGTGAATAATAAAAAGGCATAAAATCTATAACTATTCCTTGCAGATGAGAAAGTGTGTATGCATAGATTGGCTATAAAATAGATGAAATATTTATTTATCGATAGAAGATACAGTTAAACATTGGAATTCTATAAATCACACAAAAAAGTGTTTTACGGGCAAGGCTGCAAACAAGTTTAATGTGTCAGAAACCTTGTTTTTCTGCAGAGTGACCACGTATTATCACCACTAACAACATCTGTTAAGCAGTTAAGAGTATGCTAAGCATTTTTATTTTTTTATGTATTTGGTACAGGGTTTCACTACGCAGCTTGGACTCATAGTGATCCCCCTGTTTTCAGCCTCCCTAACCCTGGATTCCAGACGTGCACTACCACCCCCAGTCTTGTTGTCCGGCTCCACGCTCCCGGGGCGGGCCGGCAAGGGATGTGGTGCTGGGGTGGAACCCGGGGCCTGTGCTTGCCTAGGCAGACTCTCACGCCTCTGAGCTATCTCCATGGCCCTCCACTAACTTTTTTCTTTCCATGAGTTACCCCATTAAATTCCCAGATCATTCCTATGACTCTCACTACTGTTTTCCAAGTGATAAAACTGAGGTTTCAGAAAGGTAATTGGGTCCTAGTTACATACTGTGTATTTACCCTCAAAACCTTGGGTAGCAGTCGTGTGCTGGGTGACACCCGTGAACCCAAGATTGTAAATTCAGTAAAATACTAAGCAGGTGTTTCAGGAATCCAAAGGAGGACGGGAAAGGTATTTTACAGTACAGTAAGACCTTGGATTATGAGTGGCTTGTTCTGTATTTCACAAGATAAGCAAACATTTCTAATAAAATTTTCCTAATACATTTTAATTTGGTAAATGAGCAACATCTTGCAATAGAGAGGTATGAGATGCAGAAGTGGTGTGGTCACAACTGAACCAATGGCCTCTCTCTCTCTCTCTGTCCCCCCATCTGTCTGTCTGTCTGTCTGTCTCTGTCTGCCTCTCTCTCTCTCTCTCTCTCTCTCTCTCTCTCTCTCTCTCTCTCTGAGAAGTTGTGGGTGATCTCCTCCCCAACACATCTGTAGAGGAGGAGAGAAAAGTGGAGGAACCCTTTCAAATAAGATTAGGGAGAAGTGTAAAATAGGAGAAAAGTAAACAAGGGGGTAGCAGTGTGACCCATGAATATGTTTAGTGACAATGCAATGTCACATGTCTGTAAAATCCTCTAAAGGAGGCAAAGGCAAGTATCATCGGGTAGGTTAAGGCTACAGGAAAAGAAAAAGATTCCACTGAGCCCGAAGTCTTTGATCACATATAAGCAATATTTTTCTTCTCTCTTTCCCCCACCCACGGGGACACTGAGCCAATCTTTCTTACTTTCTTCACATAAACTTACAAATAAACTTCCACCACTGAGGTGTTTTTATTCCCAGCAACCTAATTAACCTGAGGATCACAATAAAATGGTTGAAATGTCTTTCCTAGGTGAAGCTGAGAGTTTGGAAGGCAGCATTTTGTTCTGCAAGCAGCACGAGGGCAGTGGTGGTGTGAAACAGGCAGCGTGAACACCCAGCCAGGTGGGGCGGGCGGCCACTGACAGAGGCCGCGGGCCCTTGCGAACGTCCAGCAACTGTTGCCCCGTGTGGCTGGAACTATCCCCCCGCCCCCAGGAGAAGTCATAAGTCTACGGAATTATGTGGACTCTGACTTTTAAATATCGATTCCATATTTCAAAAAAACATAGTATGCATCTGACAAAACCCATCTCCAACCAGTATATGACCTCTGTGTGAAGATACTTGTGGTAGGTGGGCACAGTGGCATACTCCTGTAATCCCAGCACTCAGGAGGCTGAGGTAGGAAGAGGGTTGTGAGTTTGAGACCTGCCTGGGCTACAAAGTGAGCTCAAAGCCAGCCTGAACTGCACAGCAAGACCCTGTCTCAAAAAGACAAAAAGGAAAAAAAAAAGGTACTTATGTCAAAAACATAAAACTAACCCCATCTCATCGGAAACTATAAGTTTATCTCCTTAGAATTCCTGTAATTCTTTGCTTACTTATTTTTGAGGCCCTGGAATTGAACCTAAGGCCTTTGCACTGAGCTGAATCCCCAGCCCCTTTTTACTTTTTTGTTTTGAGCGGGTTTCCATAAATTGCTTAACTGCCCAAATTGGGCTCATACTTGTCATTCTCCTGCTTTGGCCTCCCAGAGTGCTGGGATTACAGGCCTGCACCACCAAACCCAGCTTCTAGTTCTCTTTTGAAGCAGAAGCAAACTACTGCATTTCTGTTATCGTATACTTTGGAGGTATTACATTCTATTTATTTATAGAAAGGCATATTTCATTTTATTGTCTTCTATTTATTTACAAGATTTGTATTTCAAGAGGTGGCCCCCATCTACTACAGTCGGATTTAGGGAATTTTTCTGTTTTTTATTTTCACAGTTTTATAAATTTCTGTTATATTCTGTAGTGGGCTTCCTTTATTTCAGATTGAAGAGTGCTACTTTACCCATGGTCAGGTAACTCAGTGTTGTACAAAGTTGAATGCTAGGTGCTTTAGGAATACAGAAACAAGAACTCTACATTTAGTAGAATAAAAATACCAAAAGATAGTGCTGAAAGGGGCCGGGGAGATGGCTCGGTAAAATAAGTGCTTGCCTGCCAAGCTCAAGGGCCTGAGTTCAATCCCCGGCTCTGCAAAAAAAAAAAAAAAAAAAAAGACAAGAGGTAGCACTTACGGCTGACCCACTGTATATCCACCTTTTCCATAGGATTCATGCTAGTTGCCTGAATATATATGAGTTTAGTGAGTTCTTTGGTCACACCACAATTAAACAGCAGAGCCTAAATTTCAGTCCAATCATTCTGATTCCCAAACAAGCCACATCCTAATACTGCTGGACCTGCAGAGTGGGCGTACCAAACCCAGCATGGAGGCAGGAAGGGCCTCTTGGGGGAGATACGATCTCGGCTGGGACAGGGAAGACGGATATGTATCTCAGAGAGACAGCAGAATACAATTAGAGACGATATAAAGCAAGCCATCTAACAATTCTTAGGGCATTGTTAAAATACAAGTACTCTTCTTTGTACCAGAAATCGAACTCAGGACCTTGCACTTGCCAGGCAGGCACTTGTGCTGAGGAGCTCTACGTATCCTCAGGCTGACAAGCACTTTAGAGCTAGCTACTACTCTCATACCACCTTATCCATCCATCTACCCACCACCCATCCATTTGTCACTTCATTTAAGAATCTGAGTCCAGAGCATCTGATATGCAGATAGATAAATAACCCAATTTCCTGACTGTGACCCCAATTGCTGTGAAAGTCTAAAATCTACTTTAAAAAAAAAAGCTACTTAAATCACAATAATATTTTCCTCTCATACTGTCATCTTTCATATGATCTCTGTAACCAGGGGAAAGCAAAGTTCACTTCCAAAATTTTGTGGTTTTTTTTTTTTTTGGTGGAACCGGGGATTGAACTCAGGCCCTTGTGCTTGCCAGGGAAGAGCTTATTCTAATGAGCCTTCTCCCCAGCCCCAACTTCCAAAATTTTAAAACAAGCACTTGTCATTCCACCAGAAACAACCCTCTGCCTGTTACTCTGTAGGATTTTTTTTTTTTTTTTTTTGTTTTTAATGGGCAATATATTGGGAATTTAGAAAAAAACATAAGCAAAGAGCCATTACCTTTATTATCCTTCATGTCACTGTGTCTAGTGGCTGGGGATGAATTTTGTGAGTTGGACAACTCCCCTTAACATGACATAGGGGGCGTGATAATAAGCGGGTGTAGGGGAGATACTCGTTATCGGGATGGGGAGTTGGAGAAAGCTTTACAGAGGGATCTTGTGCTTAAAAAAGCATAAGCAAAGGGCATTGCCTTTGGTATCCTTCAATCACTGTGTCTAGTGGCTGGGTTTGACTGGAAGAGAAAGAGGCAAGAGGCACGGGGAGTTCAGTCAGAGGGAACAAAATGAACCACAACAGCAAGGACCGAGGTCGGAGGAGGACGCGATTCAGGGGCCTCTTAACAACAAAGACAAGCGACTGAAAGGATTTAGCTCGCTACAGGGTCTCTCGTTATTGCCATTCCACACGGCCTTTCCGAGTAGACATTAACCCCCAGGAGCGACGATCATTCATTCATTCATTGCTCAAATACTGACCGAGTGCCTGTCTCTGCGGGAGACGGACCTGTCCCCTCCCCGGGACCCTCCTCGGCCTCGCCGCTCCCACTCTGCAGCCCGGACTCCGACGTCCCCGGCAGCCGCAGCGGCTCACCCGGTTCCTCGACGAGGGCGGGAGTGCGGGCGCTGCGGGCGCACACTGCTCGGGCCTGGCCGGCGGCGCTGAGGACCCGACGGAAGCCGGCGGTTCCCGAGCCGTTGCCGCCGAGCCCGCGGGCGTTCCGGGCGAGCCGGGAGCAAGGTGGAGCGAGGAAGGGCGGCCGCTTGGTACTAGTTCTGGCTTTGGACCTGGTTCCTTCTAGAATGAGATGGGGTCCGATTTCTGCTCGTTGTGACGAGTTCAGTTTAGGCACAGGGTGGTAACAGCAGGTATGTGTATAACAACATACACATACGCTCTTGTACGTTCAATATCTAGCACAGCATTACAAAGGACACTAAGAGGTGCAAAAGCAGAGCAGAGCTAAGGTCTACGATAGGTCTATTGACTTGCTTAAGTCCTATCATGTTCTTACTCTATGAGATTCTTAAAATCCTTTTCACTAAATGGCTCTTTAGATAGGAGTCAGTCTCAAACCCTCAGGGATTTTTTTTTTTTTTTTAAATGCTTCTCAAAGCGAGGCGGGGCAGAGACTTTCCTGAATTATGAGCACTTGGGTGCAGGCCCTTCACCTTTGCAACGCAAACAAGCACAACTTAAGCTACATCTGCAGCCCAAAGATTCATTCTTTTCAAACGTTTTATGAGCCCATGTTTGCAGCACATGATTACACTCATTGTGGGGGGTTGGTACAGGTGCATGTCACAGTTAATCCTTTTTCCTACCCCTTCCTTTCTCCTTCCTCTCCCTCCCATCTCTAGGTCCCATTCCATTTGCATAAGAAATATTTTTATTTTGCTCTTCAATTATGTATACGTTGGGCTTCTCACATAAGAGAAACCACGCGATATTTAAGCTTGTGCATCTGATTTTACTTAACATTATGGTCTCAAGGTGCACAAAGTTGAAATAGGCATAAAGACCTACGCAAATAGACTCCCTGAGGGTCATGGATCTCGGCTTTAAGAAACAAACTCCCAGGGTAATTCTTCTGCACATAATAGTCAAGTATTACTCGGCGAGTCTGGTTGGAAAACTTTAGTTTTGGTGCAGGTTAATATTTGCCCCTGGGACTGATTTCGTCAGAATCCGGCAGAGCAAGTCATCTGTCCTTGAACAAATGGCAACGCAGCGGTTTTCTGGACAGAACTGTCTCTTCGTGCACGTATTTCTTGGAAATCCCTGCTTACGCTGAGCAGGTGCCCGGCTGCTGGTGACTGCTCGCAGTTCAAAGATCTTCTGGCTGTTTTCCCAACACCATTTGTCACTTCTGCTTTCCGCCATGGAGCCAGGGATTTACCCCGCCGACCACTGTGAGGCGCACGCGGCACGCGTTGCGGCTTTATCTCCTCAGCGGTCGGCCTTCGCGCCCTTCGAACAATTTCGGGGAGTTCCTGCCTCGGGTTTCCAGCTGTTGCTCTCTTCTCGCGAGAACTGGTCTTCCCGTCCTCTCCTCCCATTGGCAGGTTCCATATTGGGTTAAAATCCCGGCTCGTGGAGCTGCCCGAGAGCTGTTCTCGCGAGATTACGGCAGGAGGCTCCGGGTCGCTGGCGCTGGAGCTGTGAGCACTGGAGACTGAGCGGGCGCTGCAGCTGGAGCGAGCGGCCGGCGGCGTAGCTCCCAGATAGCCCTGAGGCGCAGCGGGTGCAGGGGGAGCGCGGCGGGCGCAGCCTCGAGTCCCTGAGCGCCCTCCTTCTCTGCGCCGGACTTGCTCCCGACCTGCAGCGCGTCCCGCCGCCACAGCTGACAGGGGCCGCGCGGGGGAGTCTGCGGGGTCGCGGCAGCCACACCTGCGCGGGCGGCCAGCGCGGGGTTCCCGCCGCTCGGGCGTGCACAGAGGACCAGGGAGCGGGTGCAGGTGCGGGTGCAGGCAGGGGCCCCGCAGGGCCACCGCCTCGACCCGCGGCCGCCGCTGGAAAATGTCTCAGGAGAGGCCCAAGTTCTACCGGCAGGAGCTGAACAAGACGATCTGGGAGGTGCCCGAGCGTTACCAGAACCTGTCCCCGGTGGGCTCCGGCGCCTATGGCTCCGTATGGTGAGTGTCGCTGGACCCGGGGTCGCGGGGGCAGGATGGCCTTACATGCCGAGGGCCAGGCCTGTCCGCGTCTTGAGCACCGCGATGCGCCAGGCGGCAGGAATTTTTCTTCGGGGGTGGGCATCGCTGCCTCTTTGAGTCCTGCCGGCCCTGCAGCCCTTACTTGCACACCCCAGGTAGGTAGTCAGCTGTGTGCAGGGGCCGGCCGCCGTGGGCGGTAGGTGCTGGTGCTGGCCCTGGCCCTGGCCGGGTGCCGGACTCCACAAGCGCTGCTGCTCCAGGGGCAGGTACGGCGCAGGGCAGCCCTCCTGGGAGTCTCCCTGCTGCCACAGAGCAGCAGGATCCTGCGCCCAGGGTGCGCCCACCCGGTGCACGCGAGCCTGCCCTCTGAGCGGGGCCCCGGGAGCTGCTCGAAGCAGAAGGGCTAAACCCCACCGGGAGACAGCAGTCCCCTGAACAGAGCTGACGAGCAGAGGACTTTTTTTTTTTTTTGCAAGCTTCTGTCGAAATCCCGTTTGGAGAAGCGTTCTTTTTCAATTCGCACTTGAATTAGCAGCCACCCATAGAGCTTAAAATATCGGCTTTATCTCGGTGAGCACTGTGCCAGCTTGAGTGGTGTGTTTCCGATTCGCTTGAAAGCGTATTTCCTTTGGAGGGGTTGCAGTAAGGGGGGGCCGTGCCTGCCGAAAGCCTGGAGCTTGAGAAACTGGCGGCCGCGCTGATTAGTCACTTACCACTGCTCAATTTTAGTATTGTTGGACAAAACAATTTTCTCATGTGGCGCAAAAGACGTTCAGATCCGCCCGGCGCCCTCCAGATCAAAAAGTTATTAACAGTGCTGAGAAGTATTGTGAATACTTTTTAATTGAGACGGTTCCTGTGAATACTGTTTTAAAGGTCCCGTAGAGAGCTTGCACGAAATTTTATCGACATTTATTGCACGAAGTACACAATGGTTTTCCTGAGGATGCAGCACATAGAACAGAGGAAAGGAAGAAATATTTTCCAGCTTTAATTTACACTGTCGTCGGTGTGTTTTAAATTAAATCCATGCCATACAATTTCTGGGTCTGAAATATATTATGTAATAACTTCTCTAACTTTCAAGGTTTAATACAGTGTATTTTAGGATTACTGCAATTTGAGAGCTCCTGATCTAAAAGTTGGATTTAACTGCTGCTTTTCCTGTGTCTTAGTACTTTTTGTACATGCCTCATTTGAAAAGGAGCCTGTGAAATTAATATTATTCCTGGAAGAATTTTCAGGCTTTTTTTAAATTCTTTTTTTAGGCTTTTGAATGTGTTAGTTTTTATGATTCCTGTGTGTCTTAAAGTCATATTGTGAATTTCCCGTTTGGTAGAATCTTCTGGGTACTTGAGATTGTGCAATTTGTGACCAGCAACAAATCATACAGTTTTCTAGTTCAGGGTGCCTAAGTTACGTTGCAGATGGCACCCTGCTTGACGTTTTTCTCCCATTTTTGCAGTGTGGCAGTTTATATTTTAAAAGGATTTGCAGCATTTTACATCCGTGTTGTTGGCTTGCTAATTTGCAAGGGTGTATGTAATAGCTCATTAAAGTATCTGCATTTTTTATTCTTCACTTGACACATTAGCTATGACAATGTCAAGCTATTTTTGTTTCCAGTGATGTTTAAACTTTAATGGAATGATACAATAAGTGCAGTGCAGGTCTTTGATAGAACACCCTGGGAGGGTGTTCCACCTTGGGATGTAAGATCCAGACCTTTATTTTTATTTTTTGATACTGGGAATTGAACCCAAGGCTGTGGCATTGAGCTGCACCCCCAGCCCTCCTCCCTGTTTTAAAAGCTTGAGGCTGGTTCCCCCTTGCTGTCCTCCTGCCCAGATGTATAGTGAAGTGCATTACAATGAAATCCACATGTCTTTAGTCCACTACTTTTATGTGATATGGAAGCCAGAAGTATTTGAGAAGTTGAAAATACTTCTGTTAAAAAAAATTTTTTTTTAAAGCGCAATACATTTGCTTTGTAATGAATTCATAAAGGTAGTTAGTGAAAAATATCTTTCCCCTTCTGTTCTCCTGCCTTGCTACTCTCCTGGAGACAACCACTAAGTTCCTTGTATGTCTTTCAAAGCAGGGCACTTTTTGTTTTCAGTAGCATTTCTACTAAGGGGATTTCAGATGTAACCTATAACTATTGGTGGAAGAAAACACAACTGAAATGCTATATGCCCATTGACTGCACAGAAATGTAAATTAGTTTCAGAATAAAAATACCAGAATTTAGATCCATAAGTGCATTTGCAGTATTGCAGTTGTTGAAATTGCTCTTTCAGTTAAGAGATTTTTAGATATGACAGGAAACATTTTTTTGGAACTTATTTCTTTTTTTTTTTTTTGCGGAACCGGGGATTGAACTCAGACCCTTGCACTTGCCAAGGAAGCACTTATTCCACTGAGCCATCTCTCTGGCCTCTTTTTTGGAACTTCAAATCCAAATGATTTAAGAGTGAAAAAGATTAGACAGGTTGGTGGCACTGCTTTAGGTTAAATATCAGTAAGTGGTATAACTGTAGTGACACAAATTTTTTTTGTGTGATTTGGTCAACTGGGCCTGAGGTCAGTTCCAAAAAAGAACCTCTGACTCATTTTATTTATTTTTAAAAAATTACCTATTTATTCATTTATTTGGTATACAGGTTCTCACTTTGCAGCTCAGACTCTTGGTGAATCCTATTGTTTCAGCCTCCCCAGTGCTGGAATTACAGGTGTGTACCACCATGCCCGGTTTCAGTGGCCGGCTCAGCGCAGGGTTGGCACAGCATGTGGTATAGGGAATTGAACCAGGGTCCTTGTGCTTGCCAGGCAGGCGCTTAGACCACCAGGCTATCTTCCCTGCCCCAGATTTATTTTAAAGAATGCAACATCATTGAGATGTGTGTCAGTTGGCTGATTTATTTTTTGCTCTGAAGTGTAATACATTTTATTTATTTTTAAAATGTATTTAGTACAGGGTCTACAGGGTCTCACTACATAGGTAGTGATTTTCCTGTTGTTTTTTTGTTTTGTTTTTTTGTTTTTGTTTTTAGAGAAGAGTCTATAGGGTGTTCAGGGTCTCACTATTAGATAGGACTGCTAGTGATCCGCCTGTTTATAGCCTCCCAGGACCCAAAGCACTCTGGGGGTGGTCCTGGCACTGCTTTCTGCTAAGCAGGTGCTTTAGTCCATTGCAATATCAAGCTGGCCCATGAAGTATGATACATTTTAATGTGTAACTTAAAATGTAAAAAAAAAAAAAACCACAGTTTAATTCTGTTATTTTCTTGATTTGTGCTGAATCTGTTGTAAAAAAGGAACAAGTAGCAGGCTGTGTGACCACCTAACTCTGCATCTCAAAAGATCAAGGAATCAGATGACAAATTTGAGAATTAATAGGGCTTTGCAAATGTCTTTTTTTGGGGGGGGGTAAAAGGAACTAAAGTAAGTCTTGCAGTTTTAAGGAACTCTGCATTGTTTACCAAGGGGAAATGGAGCAAAATTGTTTAAGAATACATTGTTGCAAAGCCTTGATTTCGTGGTTTCCGACCCAAGGGGAGAATCTTTGTGGTAAGTTTAAGGAAACATAAATAGGAACTTAAATGCCTCTCCTTTGAGGTACAGTTTTTCCAGTCCTTGCTCTTGATCAAAGGAGATAGGGCCCTGGTAGCTATAAAGCCGAGAGTTGAGAATTACTGGCAGAACATGTTGAACCATTTATCCAACAGTATTTTTTTTTTTTTAATACCAATTCTGCCAAATACTGGGCTAGGAGTGCTAAACTCGCTCCCTGAGAAATCTGTAGGGGAGGGGACTTAATAACTACATTTTCCGAATCACTTGCTGCATCCCAGGCCTTGCGCTGCATGCTTTATGTGTATCACTAGCATATGAGGTATATCAGAACTTCTCATTGAGAGGGCACCAAAATTTACCAAGATACAAATCAGACTCCTAAGTACCTTGTGGAAGATTGTTCCAATCAGTATAACTTTAAAAGTGAAAAAAAAAAAAAAATGAAGCTAAATTAAAAAA